CTTCATAAATAACTGCACATAGATTATGAAATTACTTGGACTTAAAAATTTAGCTTTACAGCAGCATTTTGCAACACAGCTGGAATTTTAGACACCTACGCTTAATTTATCTACATGTTAATGTAGAGTAATAAAGAAAAACGATACTAAGAACTGGGGAAGCTGGAGGATCAGACATCTGTTTTAGTGAGCTGCGTTCTTACTGTTAAGCAAATTTGACACACTACTTAGAGGTGTATAAAGTGTGTAAATTGTACTCAATTAAAATGTATAACTAAAACTGAGCTACTTCACTGACTGTAGTTTATTGAACAGTAGAATGATACTAGCATGGGAATTGGATATCAAACTGGCTGTTTCTATGAAACATCTTAAACATCATAACTCTACACTGTTTCATAAGTACGAGATGAAACAAGATGAAAACTGGTTTGAAGTCTGCTATTGGGCTCACATACTGTCAGCAGGTGATTCTTTCTTTTAGTAGCAAGGTTATAGGGGCCAGTAGGTACATTTGAAGTAACGATGTTGTATTAAAAACTAAAATACCTATTTGAGCTTTCTGAATGCTACCCTGAAGAAAGCAGACAAAGGGGGAATTTTTTGTAAGGTAAAGTAGGGCAACTGCAAGGACTTGCATACCTGAAGAAATTGCAAATCAGCATCCTCGACTGAGTATGCTCAGCTATTTAGTTATTACCTGGGAATTTTTGTGGCAAGATAGTTTCACAAATAGGTACTAAAGTCAGCGCTTCAGCTAGACAATTTATAGAACTGTTCTGCAATGCTGTAAACCTTTTTATTTCTGAATACAGAAGAAACTGTAGATAGCAGGTTGTGTGTTAAGTTGCCCTTGATCATAAGTTGGACTATTATGTGATGTTTGACAGATAAGCCTTTATCAGAACAGCAAATTTGGTTTTGGCTTTCATTTGATAGGCAGTCAGTGTATAAAATATTACCACTCTCTGCAGGGACCTGCAAAAGTAAGTTTTATCAGTACAGCTTTCATTCTTTTGCTGGTGAAATATGCATTTAGTTGCTAATTCTTGCGAACACTATACAAAAAAAAAAGCTTGTCAAAATTAATGGTTTAGTGATTTTAAAATTTAATGTCATGAATGCATTTTAATTCAAAAGCCATAACTAATGCCAAGTACTTTATTAGAGCAATGTGTTCATGAAAAATTAATGTCCCTGCCTGAAGAAGCTGTTGGCCAAGTAGGTTACAGTTCAACTAATCTGTGGAAAAATGTGCCACAAACTGGAATCTCTGAATGTCATATTCTGAGTTGCTCATTTGTTACTTAACTGATTTTTTTTTTTTTAAGCTCATTCTTACCAGTTACCAGAGATGACAGTTTTGCTTTTGCTTTCTGAAGTTACGTACTTCAGTAACAATTGTGTAGTTTACCTTCTTTGGCTTGGTTTTACCCTACAACTGTTAACAGGATACAACAATTCTGAGGCAGCGACTGAAAACAGATCACTGTAAGTATGAAGTTGTTCCAGTGGAGCTCATGGACTTGACAAAGATAAAGATGGTTTCTTAGTGGAACTGTGATCCAGTGGGTAACATCGAGTCCACTGTTCAGCTGTCATGGACTTGTCTGCAGATTATTATTCTCAGTGGTGATGCTATCATACAGGGCAAGTTTGAGAATAATGAGATTTTATCAAGCAGAATTCATCAGTGGGTAGTACACAGTGACAGGCCATGCATCCAGACTGATCTACTGTGTTAATTTTTCTTTAAACAAAAATTTTGCTATTTTTTAATAAGAATGCAAATGCAAAGAACAATCTCAAATGTTTGAAACTTTATTGCAGAGACTAGTTCACATGTAAAACTGAAAGATACGAGGTGGTACATAAAATCTATAAGAAAAATGTCGTGGTTTATGGTTTTTCTTTGCATCTGTAAATTCTTTTGCTCTAGTTTATTTCAAATTCAGAAAAACTGGTTACTTGCTTCACAAGGTTCCTACATGTATTACTGAAAACTGTCAGAGGTAAATCTTTAGCTGCAGTTGCTTGAAGGTTTGGTTAAATGAGTTTGTAGATTATAAATTCTGGCCTATGTCAGTGCGCCAAATTTTAACAGTGGTTTTGAAGGTTCAAGTTAAAATGAAATCTTACAAGAATCTGATGGCCAAATCACTGTTGAGTGAAAGGAGAAGACAAACTTCTCATGACGTTAAACCTTTAAACTCTTACATAACTGTCATAAACTTGTGTTTAATGACTGTTTTGGTAAATCTTAGATTTTTGGATATGTTTTGCCACTTGACCTATTATTTAAGATCTGGACTATATTACTGATGTTTTTATAGAGTTAATAGTTTAATATCAGCTCAAGTCTAACTTTTCAAAATTCTGAGCAGAAATATTTTGAGGACTTTCAAAGGTGGGATGTGTTTTGAAATGCAATAGTCAGTCATGAAAGAAGAAACCAAAAAGGCATGTTTCTCTTGTTGCTATCAATCGGGACCAAACCCTGTAGTTCCATCACACTGAATGGATTTTTATTGGTGAAACAGGATGTAAGAAATACCTTAAAGATACTGCTTCTGATTTTTCACTTGTTCCTGCCCTCTTGAAATCCTATCCAGAAGACCCATCCAGCCCCTCATCTTCCCTGAGTCATTCTTTCTGCTTCTGTCTCCCAAATTGGGACTGTTTCCAAACCTGCAAGATTTCTGAGGACCTCAACTCAGCGCACATCCATGAATTACTCCTTTGCCTCATCTTCATCAGTGCAGTAGCAGGGCAGTGGAAGCACCAGAAGCTCCTTCCTATTATGTATCAAAGAATTGGTTACAAACTTTAACAAAAACAACAACAACAACAACAAAAAGTATGACCTACTAAATACTTCTTCATGCTTCTTTCTAGTTTAGTTTTGACCTGTAGTAATGAAGCTTTGACGTTTTCAACATAAAAATCTTGAAGGCATGCTAGTTATTATTTTCTTTATTATTATTATGTCTCTAGTTATTCTCCAAGGATCTAAAGGGTAGTTTTATCCCTGTTACTGCAGATAAGTATTAGGAGCAGAATGGTGAATGATTGTCTTGAGCTCCACCGAGTTGAGTCAGTCTTAACCTGAGACTAAACGAAATCTAAACACTTAATTACCTGACAGCCTTCGTTCGGCAGCTGGCAAATGATTTGAGAAGCACCACTAGTTTTCTTTGTTACTGATTTTTTGAGAGACAGATCTAACATACCCAAATTATGTGCAGTGAAGAAAAAAAAACCACAACTTGTTTTTCAGATGCTGTTCAACACTTGTAGTAGAGCTATTTACAATTTCTTAAGAA